TCAGTGAAGGGCTTTTAGTGTAGTAGGGGTAGGACTGAGAGATCTGGGAGGGGATTTCGGTGCTGGAAACTGTTCGGTTGATAGTGGGGTAGAGAGGGGCATCCTGGGGGTGGTCATAGTCACACCTAGACGTGAGAGTCTTAGTTTTCAAGGTCGATCCAACCTGACCACTCGGTGGTTCAAAATGCCTTGATAATGGAAGTTGTAGGCTTACAGATCCGTATTAGGGCCAAAAGGGCCGATGCACAAGAGTGTTAAGTACCATTGTTGTTTCGACGCTATGTGGCGAGGTTGGGCTGGCCTTTTGTTGTTGCCAAGTTGGTCTGGTTTCTCTTAGTAGGAAGCAAGTGCTCTCATGTCAGGTTGGTCTCGCAAAAGTTGGTTACCCCACTGGGTAGAATTGTGAGGTCCCCGGTCTCTCTCCCATTTGCATAATGAGATGCTTTGCTTTTGCGCAAAAAAAAAAAAAAAAAAAAAAAGTGGTGGAGGGGCGGAAAGCGGTTGGGGTTCGAGCCTGTACAAATCCGGGTTTTCGGACCAAGGGGGGCGGGGGGGGGACAGTGGCGCGCAGGTCGGGAAAATCCCGGTACTACCGAGTCCCTGAACTGCCTAGAGTTCTGTCGTCGCTGCACTACTCCTGAAGAAGGTGTCGGCCTCTCAAGAGCAACTCACGGGGAGAACTGCCTAGAGTAAGTGCATCGACACCGAACTCTAGGCCGTTTCGGGACTCTGACAACTCTAGGCGCACTCATGATTTTTCTCACGAGTCATGTGTAGTGCAGTGAGACCCCTTCTTTCGAAAGCTTGTGTGGCGAGCCGCTATATGTAAATATAGGCGTTTGGGTATAGATGCAGCATAGCGTAAATATCATTGACTGCATATGAGCTCCCAGGCATGCCCACTACCGCACACCGTACCCATGTGCAATGAACCCAGACGAGATAACACTCATTGAACATCCGGATACTGTTCGCAGCAACGCACGAGCATCAGCGCTCGTGCAGCAATAGTCCAATGGCTCAATGACAAAGCAACTCGAGTAATCCAGTCTTGTTGATGAATAATGTCRAASAGATYTGTTYCACTATCCRAGTATATACATACATAGACGAGAGAGAGAGAGAGGGGAAGAAAAGACTCAGAAGAGAAGTTGCCCACTTCTCCTTCGGGCCAATCAGAGTCGCCCTCTCTCCAGCAGCGTCAATCTAGATACAGATCTGAGTTCCTCAAGGTGYCACGTGGCACATCAGCATTYTYTTCATCAACGGAGCAGCAATGTCATCTCAATAAGYAGGTACGTGTCATCTCAACCCCACAATCCCTGACCTCCTTCCRGACGACGATAGCYTGAAYRGCGAATGAACACGTGGTATWGCCACRTCACCAACACACTACGTGGCAGCAGCCACGTCAGCAACGACACGTGGCGCTGCCACGCCAGCACCTTGTAGACAAGAGCAAGCCAGCCCCCATGCCAGCAAGCAAGCAGCGTGTCGCCGCTGAGGAACACCAACGTCCTGCTAGCAATTAGCCAGCACCTCACAAGCCAGCGTCAAGTCAAAGTAGAGTCAGCCTTGACTCGCGACAGAATGAATGATGTCAAAGCCAGGAGTCAACTTTAAGTAGTGTTGACTCGGGGTCAATACCCCGTTGCAGTGGTCCTGTGTCGTCAAGATCTTGATGCGGCGACGGCCTGGATCGGTCTGCAACTGTTTCTCCCTTGGTCCGATGTCTTGGCCTGGTGCCTGCATACAACACATGTGTGTATCTGTTCGTGGACTTGGGTACGGTACCTGCGACCCGACAGTTGACTTTGACCTTTGAATCTCCCCAGTCCGGCGTTGGGTCTCACTGGCCAGACGCTGGGCTGGGCCGGGCAGTGAGTGGTCACACAGCCCGGCCTCTGCAGAGTGCGGGTTACTGCATTCCTGCCGACCCAATTTCGAGTTCCATCGCAGAAATAATTAACCTTTCAACCCACGCTCATATGCAGAGACAATGTCAGGAGCAGTTTCAAGGAACTGTTGTTTACTGAACCACCGATCCTCGGATGGTTTTTGAGTCTTAAATCTTACCTTGAACTGCTTCTGCGGTCGTCCACGCCTTCCGGTGGAGAAGAACCCATGGTCTACAATCCGATCTACTTCATAACTTTCGTTCATCGAAGGTGGAATCATAGAAGGCCTGTTAGGAAACTCATCTCCCTCCTCATACAGTAGCAACTTAGAGGCATGGAATACACGGTAGGTTTTGAGATGCTGGGGAATATCAATTCTGTAGGACGGTCCCTCTGCATCTCCAATTACTTTGAGAACTTCCCAGGGCCCAAAGTAGACAGGCAACAGTTTCTGTGAAACATCTTCTTTCAAGGAGAACTCATTTGACTTTACCCAAACCATGTCACCTACTTAAAAGTTAGCAGGTCTTCGATGTTTGTTGGTCTGGTTAATCATCTGTTCTTGTGCTTTCTTTAGATTCTCCTTAACTTTCGGGATGTCTTCTTGGAACAAAACTGCATATTCACGGGTGCCTGGCGGTAGCCGTAAAAATTGGTCTCTGGTTAATACATCAATGGGACGTCGCGACTTTGATCCTTTATGTAGTGCATTAGGAGTGCGTTCGGTTGCAGTGTGGACGCAGCTGTTGTATGCACTAGCTATTTTTGGTAAGTTCTCGTCCCAATCAATCTGATCGGGCCTGACATACATGCGCAAGAGCTGTTGGCACAAGCGGTTCATTTGCTCGCTTTGCCCATTCGTTTCAGGATGGCGTTCTGACGACATGGTCAAACGAGTGTCGTATGCCTCCATCAGCTTTTGTCATGGCATACTTGCGAACCTCACATCCCTGTCAGATACGATAGACAATGGGAATCCATACTAAGTTACCCATCGCATCTGAAACTTCTGAATCACAAGCTCAGTTTTCTCTTCAGCAGGCAAAGGAATAAACATCGCATACTTAGAGAAACGATCAACTACAACCATCACTTGACTGTTGTCATTTCGACTCTTGACGAGACTCATGAAGTCTCTGGAGATTGACTCACCTGGTTCGCTGGGAATCGGTAGTGGCCTTAGTAGACCCAGAGGGTTCTCATGTGGTGGTTTGTTTCTCTGACATACCAGACAAGTACGCACATATGTTAGTACATCTTCCTTTAGTCCTTTCCAATCGAAGCATTCTCTTACTTCTGCATAAGTTTTCTTGAAACCAAAATGTTCTGTAAAGTTACGACATTCCCCAATCAGCAAACTTTTAATCTCTTCTTTGTGAGGAATACACAACCGTTGTTTAGTTTCGTCTATCAAGAAAAACAATCCATTTGTCATCTTATACTTGGGTAACAGGGCAGGATCCTTAGTGACAAGGTCAATAATGGGTTTCCAGATAGGATCATTAGCATAGCCTTGTCGAATCTGTTCCTGCACATCATTTCCTATATCCAAGTAGGAGACAATGGTTCCAAAGAAATCACTTCTCCTAGACAATGCATCTGCCACAGCGTTAGACTTACCTTTGATTGTTTACAACTCAAAGTCAAAGGTGTCGAGGAAAGCAGACCATCGTACTAGTTTGTCAGAGAGTCTTGGTTGAGTCTTTATCCACTTCAGTGTCGAGTG